CCAAACTCAAAAACCAGCCATAGTCAGCTTATACAAACATTGCAAACAAGTTTCTCATACCCTAGCAAGCAAGAAGCACGAGCCTTTGACCCCTCAAACCTCCTTGTACACAAAATCTCCATTTTTCTGCAAAACAGAGCAAGCCCTGCATAATCACTTCCATCTCCACTTTGCCTCGTGCGTTTTGCCTCAAACTTGTTCCAATACCTTCCATTCAACTCACCTAAACTATTCCAGACCTCCATTACCAACTGTAACTCCATTAAAACACATTGCCATTTTTGTTTGGAAGCTTTGCAGGTTGAGTTCTGTAGCACGATTCAGGCTACTTCAAAACAAACTAAGCATTGGGAAAGCTTCAGTGGACATCAGGCAAGCTCAAAAGAACCTCAAGCACCATTGAAAGTTGCTACATTATCCAACTCGAACTCAACTGAAACAGGTATTTCATGAACTTCTATCTCTCTATTTAGGAATAGTTAGACTTAGGTTTGTGAATGAAAGATGTTGTATTCATAGCCCTGAAACCATACATGTGCTTAGTTTTCATTTATATTAATCGTGCTATGAGAATTTCATCCATGAACTTTCTGAAAAAACTAGGTTAAGAATTAGGGCCAGAGAAATTCTCTCTGGTCTTTGAGAGTTAGCTTAAGTTCTTTATATGGTTAGATTCTTTGTTTGATGCTCTACAAGTTTCATGTTATGAGTTTTGTCAAAAAAGCACAGAATCAGGAGATACAGGTTTGTGTGGAAAACACGCGTTTTTCAAACTTCTGGAGGTTGAAGATGAAGTCTGGGTTGGGCCTGGATTTCTTTGCTTTTGACACCTCCCAATCTACTTTCAGCACCCCCTGGCCCATTCTCTTGTATTTGACTATTTTTGCATTTTTATTTTATTTTCTGACTTTGATATTTTATTTTCAAACATGAAAAATGATCCAAAAATATTTTTATAATTTTTTACATTTATTTGGTATTTATTTTTATTTTTACTAGTATAAAAATGTTTATATGCTTTTTATATCATTTTGTTTAAATTAAAAAATAATACAAATAACACTTTTATTTTCATTTATTATTTTTATACACATTTGAAAATATTTTCTTGAAATATATACATTTTGTAAATAATTTATTTTATTTTTATACACACTTAATATATTTAATATATTTTATTAAATAATTAGAACAAAAAACACAACAATAATACATTTTTATTTTTATTAATATTTTATACTAAAAATACCTTTTTTCAGTATACTTTTATTTTTTTGTACAAATTGATGCATTATTGTATATAAATAATAAATAATACTATTTATTTAAGAAATTAGGGTTTTTGCCCTAAAAACAAAAATAATTAAAATTGACTTTTTATTTATTTACATTTCACATAAAAAATACTTTTTACATACATAAAATTTTTTTTTTTTGCATAATACATTTTATGTAATATTTATTTATTGTATTTATTTAAATATTGTACATTTAATTGTTATGCCTTACACATTCAATTTGGTTGTAATAATTTAGAATTTAATTTCTTGTCTAAATAATTCCCTTTTCATAATCTACCCCCCGAACCCAAGAAAACATCTCAAAGATCTTTCCTGTGCTTTTTGACCTTTCCTTAGGATAAAATAAAAAGTCGGTGGCGACTCTTGCTAAACTGAAACATTTGCGAACACAGACGCAAAATCTCAAGTCAGTTCTCCCACCGTATCACACCTTACAAAATGATCTTGGTCCCTCAAAAATGCTAAGATACTTTGCAACATTGCTAATCATGGTTATACGGTGACCCACGCCCGTCCCGTTAACAGCCAAAGATAGGGTTGCTTACCAAATCAATGGTAAAACAACAATGTCAAAGGAATAGAAAATGAACAAGAAAGACATTTGAGTAGGTAGATTGCTTCTAGTTACTTGCTCTATTTTCAAACAACTATCATTGCTATTTTTAAAACAAACACACACATTTTCAAACATTTTTACAAACATTGAAAACATTTTCAAAAAGACAAACATCTTTGTATACATTCTTACAAACGAGAATCATTATAAAGATTGCCTAAACGATGGCCTCTTTTACAAAATACTTTCAAAAATTACACCAAACACAATTTCAAACAACAAAAGCAAGTGATCTAGCAAGTAACTAAGAGCCCATGGAAAACCATGGATGAAAAAGGTGCTAATACCTTCCCTTTTCATAATCTACCCCCCTAACTCAAGAAAACATCTCAAAGGTTTTTCCTGTGCTTTTTCACCTTTCCTTTTGGATAAAAGAAAAGTCGGTGGAGACTCTTGCTAAACCGCAACATTTGCGATAAAACGCGAAAACCTCAAGTCAGTTCTCCCACTGTGCCACAGTTACCTTTAGCACCACCTCTCTGTTTGCCTTGGTATGGGGGTCTTCTCTGATTCGACACAATTCTTTCTTGCTGGTCTCCTTTACAAGTTGAGTTGTTGTAGCCTTCTCTACCTTTGTTGTCGGACCATATTTCTCTGCCTTTCTTTTCTCTTATTGACTACGCCTGCAAAGCCATATCACTCTTCGACTTTCCGGTAACTCTTTCAGCCATTCTTTATTCATGAGATTCAAGCGTCCCTTAAATCTCTTCATTTGTCAATTTAGACAAATCTTTCAACTCTTCTATGGCTACCACCACGTGGTCGAACTTCGGAGCCAAAGATCTCAAGATCTTTGCGACAACTAATCTCGACGTCAGCGCTTCTCCACATACTTTGATTTGATTCACTAGTTTCGTAACCCTAGTGAAGAAATTTGTTATGCTCTCACTTTCTTCTATCTGAAGCAATTCATATGTTCTTTTGTGAGTTTGTAACCTCACCTCTTTTACCTTTTTTGCACCTCCAAGAGACTTTTCCAGAATTTTCCAAGCTTATTTCACAGATTCTATATTATTAAACTTTTTGACATTGTCTAGACTCATACATTGATGAATTATAAAAAGAGCTTTATAATTCTTCTTCTTGAATTCTTTGTGTGTTGCTTCTTCTTCATCCATTGATTCTTCTACAACCGATTCTAATCCTTCTTTCACAATATCCCAAAGATCTTGACAACATAACACAACCTTCATCTGTTTACACAAATTCTCATAGTTATCAACTTTCAGAATTTGAAGACTTGCTGGAAAATACACATTTGGATGATTCATTGTCATTGTGATTTTCTTGCCTTTAATTACACAACCGAAGCTCTGATACCAGATGTTGGAAAATCCATCAAAATCTATGGAGAATTTCTATCAATCTTAATGAGCAGGATTATTTTCAATACACAATAACAATGAAAAATAGAGGAAGAAAGACAATTAGGGTTTGGACAAAATATGGAAACAAATGGTGATTTCTACAGAGTAACTCTATGCCCACAAACTGTGAAAATCTTATTCACTTGTAATTGTAAATTCTGTGAATACTTAATGAGTTGTTACAAAAATAAGGGTTACTCCCTCTATTTATAAGTGAGCTAACTTGCTCCCTAAGCTTAAGTCCAAAACTATAAAAGTCCAAAATACCTAATTTACTAACACTACGAAATAAGTCTGAATCAAAATCCTGTCGAAACAACTCCTTTGACATTTTGAGACACACAACTCAACATACTTACAAACTAATTCGACACACCCTTCTATTGAACAATATTCTGCTTCAATACAAGAGAATTACATTCTCAAACATTAATTTATTAATTACATGTTTATCATTTGTAGTGTAAATATTTGAAATAAATGTGTTAATATGTTAATTACATGTTTATGCATTTCTAGTGTAAATACTTGAAAAAACATATGTATTTATTTGTCTTAATTAAATTAAAGTTGAATATCATGTCTATTTCAAGCATTAACTCAATAAATAAATAAATTATACCCTTTTGTATTCCTCATGCAATTGTTATATTTGTCTTCATAAATACCATAGAATAACTTCTTTTTTTAAATAATTACAAGTTACTACACATTTATCCTTAAAAAAAACTTACCACATATTTATGAATTTTAAAAAGAAGTTACAACACATTTATAAGGATGTCAATGTCACACACAAAGAATAGAAATACAAAACTTTGGAATAAAATAAGAATAAGAATAAAAAGAATGTTCATGTTTGTTAGCACTTAGCATGTATTATAGGATGATGAAACAAAGTGTACACGTGTGGAAACCTAAACCTTGAGGGTGCACGTTTCCTTAATTTGTTCCTCCTCGTACCCTATTTCACAAGTCACACCTCTTCTTAAGTGTTTTCCTCTTTCTCTTCCTCTTCAATTCTTCTTCTTTCTTGATTTTTTTTAATCTCTTTTGAGAGTTGGGACGAACCCTCTTTCATCTGTTGAAAAGGTTGTGTTTTTATAACAGGTATGTTTGATTCTTTCTATGATCGATTCAGCTGTTTTATGTCTTCATATTCTAAATGGGTTTTTTGTTTTCTCATCGAAAGTTCTAATCTTTGTTGAAAAATTGGTTTTTTATTTTATGGTATTGTGTTGTGTTATACCCTCTTTTTTGTTTCTCTTTTGTTGTGTTTAATTGAATTTGACATATGTGTGCGTGGTTTTGTTATTTTTGGTAAATTCTCTCTCTCTTGATGAGAGAGAAGAAGCCATTAGGGTTTGAAGCAAATAAGTTATGTGTGGTAAATTAGTTGAAGGTTTTGGTATGGTTTTAGAAGATAAAGTTGTTGTGGTTTTAATTTTGGTATTATTAGTTAATTACCTGTTTAAATTGTTTGTCATTAGTTAGTTTTGTAATTATTAGTTAATTACCTGTTTAAATGGCTTGTATTGTGTCATGTCATGTGCTGGAAATTGAATTCTCCTGCATTCCATCTTTTGTCTTTATCATCATTGCTCTGATTGCTAAGATAACTTGGCCATCAATTTAGAGTCTGTTGAATCATTTCTTTCAATTTTTTGCGGATAATTGCATTACAAATTTCATAGGTTGAGATACATGAAGGATATTATGACCACCATGGATGTAAAAGGCATGAATTGGGTTGGAAACATGTACCAGAAATTCGAAAATATGTGCCTCGAGGCAGAAGATCTGATGTATGAGGTATGTTCTAATTGTTGTTTAACTTTAACTAGGGTCTAGGAGGTGGTAAAACAGGTCCGGCCCGTCGGATATTGTGTTTTGCCCCACTTTTTTGCTGGGTGGACCAAGGTTTTAGGCTCACACTCTCTAATATGCCCACTGTCTCACCTGTTTCTTTTTGCGGGCGCGGGCATTAACATAATTTTTTGCAATATTCTTTAGAGGTGCAATGCCGGCCCCCGCCCTCATTTTTTTGCAAGGTGGGTCAGATTTTAGGCCCACATCCTCAACTATACTCGTCCAGTTTCTTGTGGCCTTTTGCGAGGCGGGCATGCCCGTTTTTCCTCCCCAAATTAACATATCCAATGTGCTGATTTAGTATATACACAATAGTCAAATATGCTACTTATTCCTTGATTTTTGTTTTAATGATAACCATGCTTAATTTAATTTTTATGAATGCATACCATGCCTAATTTTTATGGCACCTTTTTCAATCATATCAGCCACTAAATATCTTATATATGTTTGTTCTTTGGGTATAGGATACAGTTGAATATATTGAGAATCAGGTGCAGACTGTTGGAGAAAGTGTAAAAAAGTTATATTCCGATATCATGAGAGATTTAATTCCTTCACTTTCATGTATTTTGGATGAAAATGACGATGACTCTGAATTGTCAATAGATCGACGTACTGCTGATTCTAGGTTCGGTAAGAAGCAAGTCCAAAATTTCATGGAAAGATCTGCAAAGGCTAATACGAAACAAACAACCGAGCATCGGAGAATCGGTCTTAATGTTGATAAAAATGGCATACATGCTGCAGCATATGATAGAACTGGTAAGACCGGTGCTTTGTTTACTTCATCTTCTAGGAAGCCTGTCAAAAAAAGCAATATTGTTTCGCGTTCAAAACAGCACATTGGGAGCATGGATGTTAAATCAAATCTAGGCTCTGATGTAAACAAAGTAAATGAAAAACCGGTTGCAACCAAGATATTCAATGAAATCAGTTCGGCAGGAACAGATACTTGCATTCCATCAGAATGTTCTGAGATTTCAAATGAGGATCAAAATCATTTAGCGAGTGTTTCAAAGACAGCTTCAGATGAAGAAAAACAGATTGGCACGAGGTCTTGTGATGGTGAGTATTTCCTTATCTCATGCTTATAATTTTATATGAAAACCGCTGCAACCAACTCGTGATCCCAATGTTATTGTTGGCGGATTGCGTACCATGGAGGAAAGCCAAAAATCCCCCGTATGGTGCCGCCATCCTTCACAATTGGCCATGACGGTTATCAAAAAACCGTCACCGCGATCCGTCATGGCCGATTTTCCCATGCTCCTTCCTATGATCTTCTTTGCAATGTTACCAACATTATTTACAAGTTTGATATTGCTATTGTAGATCAAAGTCATAAAACCATGCAAGAAGAAGATGTGAAGCTTGAGGAAACTTGTGTTATGGTGACCAGCGACGATCTTGAATTAGTTCCAAAAGAAATTGACAATCTGAAGGCTAACAAGGTACACACTCCTCCTATCCATTTCTCTTCCAAAAATTGATCTTTATTTGGTATGCATTCACATTCACCTCTAACTTGAACAATGTAGAAAACAATGCGGAAAGGGAAAGGGTTTTCTTTATCGAAGAAGTCTGCAAGAAAACAAGAGTATAAGGAGCTTGCATTATGGCATGGGAAGAGCGAAAAAGTAGAAGGAGATTTAATGAAGAATTTAGATGAAACTTGTAATGTGTCTGAACCTGAATGGGAGCTTCTGTAGATACACAACCAATCCTGCAAACTTGATTTCCACTCCTAAAGTCTTTATAAAGGAGATTAATGCACACTTGTTGAAATTTCAAATGTTTACAAAATTTAAATTCCTATAATATCATTGTAACTTTAATTTTAGAACAAATCAACACTTCATATTTGCATATCATCAATTGCATGACCTCATATGCTCTATTTTCTGTTGGTGTTATCTTCTATTATATTTATTGTATTTTCAGATTTTCATCTTATTATCATTATATTTTGTTTAAATTTTTTTTATTTTATTTAATTCATTTTAATGTTATTTTTTAATTATTGTAATGTTTTTGTTTATAATAATAATTATTATATTTTATTATATTTGATAATATTTTTAAAATTATATATCATAATCGTTACATTATTATTAAAAAATAATATTTTTTGATTTATAATATTCTCTTATTGAGTACTTATATTTTGTCATTTACATTTTTGAATTGAATTTAATTGGAATGCATTGACAATGTAAATAAATTTTATACCGTCAGTTAATCGTGATTTTTATTAATGTTTGACTTCTATTTTAATGATCTATAAAGTAACAACTTTGAATGGTTGTGATACACTTAATATGTAAAAAAATTTATACAAACAGTGTATAACAATTAATCTCTTTTGACTTATAAACGGTAAATATCATGAGTCCTATGATAAAATTAACGAGATACTCGTGCATTCGTACGGATACTGGTATGGTACGCGTATTTGTTTCTAAAATATAATAAAAATAAAATAAATAAAATATAAATTTTGTAACCAAAAAAGTCTATTATGTTATAAGATAATAAATTGGTTTCTATAATTTATTTTATGTATAAAAATATTTGATTCAATTGTATATTTTATTATGTGTATAAATATTATTTAAATTTTAATATTATTTTTGTTTTAATATTATTTTTGTTTTCGTAAATTTATTTCTGCTTATTAAAATAAGACCGTTTAAAAATAAGACCATTTAATAATATGAAAATTAATTAATTAAAAAAAACCTAAATTTGATAGTCATCAACATCCAACGGCTGGGGTTACCTACTCACTAATAGTAAGATAATACGGTCTAAAGGATGTGAGGAAAAGAACAGTCCTTTTTCGAGTAGGTAGATAACTGTTAGGTACTTGCTTAAACAAATTTTCACACCACACATTCAAACACTTTTCAAACAAAGTTTTCAAAACGCTTTATCACACTCTTGAGGACTGATACAAGAGTTACCATAAAGTGAATCGCCGCACTAAGACATTTTCAAAACTTTTTCACACAAACACGAAAGCAATTTAAAAAATGAACAAGTACCTAAGAGCCCATGGAAAATCATAGATGGAAAGGGTACTAACACCTTTCCTTTCCATAATCTACCCCCTTACTCAGAAAATCTCGAAAAAAGTCTTTTTCTGTTCTTTTCACCCTTTCATTTGTTGGATAAAAGAAAAGTCGATGGTGACTCTTGTTTACCGCGACATTTGCAAACAAAAAACGCAAACCAGTATTAACAGTCAGTTCTGCCACCGTATTACAAAACTAGAGACTCTGTTGGGGATAATTATAAAGTGGGGTTTACCTTAGGGTCTAGATCATTTTAAATTGCTTTTCTCTGTTTGCTTTGACTACTTTATCTTTGAGGGTTTGTTGGGGTATTCTTGTAAAGATCCTATACCCGGATTTGGGGCACCTTATTAGGTAAGTAGCAATAAACCATGGAGGTTGTACAACGTAGACTGATACGAACGAAGTGGTGGCTACATTAGCATGATGCTTTGGATTGTACTAATGTTCCTTGAGTAAGTTAAGGATAACATTAGGCTTCCTCATAGTGTCACTAAGCGCTAACTGACCTTTAGAACCTTTTATTGACTCATCATAACTATTAGGAAGTAGTGAGATAACCGACTTTGGTTCCGACCGAAGATTGGTTGATACTCGATACTACACTCATTGAGGCTGGACTTTCAGGATTTTTTGGCCGCAGTACTTCGGTGCGGAGCTGAAACAATTTATGAAGGGGAGGTCAGTGATATTGAGGCTCCTTTGAACCCGGTTACTATTAATAGGACAGGTTGAGCCAATTGAATATTCAAGAGGATACTTACCTACAAACCCCATACAAGCCTAAACCTAAGGCTGCTTGTGTGATTTGTTTGCTTTCAACTTGAGCTACCTGCAGGGTTACTATCTGACAATATGATTTCCTTGCAGGATTTGTTTACAATCATTATCCAATAACCTGGATTTTTTGCAGGGTTTACTTGCTTACACCACCTCGCACTTTTGCTTAATGCATAGCATACACATCATAACATTATCTCATAGCATCTCCTTAACCATTTCAAGAATCTCAAGGGTTTGTGATGCAAATTATGGTAAATCAGACGTCTAGCAAGGGACAAAGGGAATTTATTTTCCTCTAGCTAATATCGTCAAAAGATCAAAACACAACAACTTGAGTCAGGGGCTATGACCCACTTGATATGGTGAGCTTGACTCTTGTAGAAGGACCTTCAACGATACGAAATTCTTCAATCAAAGCTGCGAATTTCAACTTCTGACATTTTCTTGTTTACCCCGCGAGATCCTTGAAAACATTTACATATCATACATGTCATCGCATAACAGGTAGGCTCTAGTACAGGTCTCTCATGTTCTCGCTGTTTATTTCAGCAATGGATCTCAAACAAGACAACAGAGATCTCCAAATTCAAAAGGTTCAGTTCATGGAAATGTTCCTAAACCTATTCAGGGGACAGGAAGAGTTGAAAGCACTCCTCGCTGGGGACCTGGCCAAGAAAAGTCCTGAAGACAATAAGGACGAACGGTTGGAACAACTGCAAACTGAGGTAGAAGCAATGAGAATCCAGATGCTAGGATAGATGGCTCTTATCCAAGGCCTAGCCCGAGAACAGGAAGAGCTGAGGGCCATTATCGCCAAACTTCATCAAGACGGATACAACCGTAAGAAGCAAACCGTCGAGGTTGGGGACCAAGTCATTGATCAACCTCTGAGAAGATAAGAGTTTGGACCTTTCTAAATTGCTACTACATCACGTGTTTAACAACAACCTTGCCAAAAACAACGGGTTAATTAGAGTAAGCCAGATACATCCAAGAGGCAGTTTACCAAACTCAACATGCCGCTGTCGCAAGTCTTGCAACACATGTTGAAGTTGAATTTGGTCACATTAAAGAATCCTCCTCAGAATCCTAATACTTTCGCTCCTACTTACAATCCTGATGCAATATGTGCATATCACTCCAACAGTCCGGGGCATGACACTGATAGCTGTTGGACGTTGAAATAAAAAATTTAAAACCTGATCAATGAAGGAGTACTGAGGTTTACATAAGATGGCCAGGCTGAGTTCTTTTGCCATCCCTCCAAGGCACGCTATCCGAAGTGACAAGATCAGACAAAGAAGCTTTTGTTCATTAGAATTTTCAATTTATAACTTTCTTTTGATTGTTCGAACATTTATTCATGTCAAACTTTGTTACTTTATCAATGCATTGCATATGTCTGTTTTGAATCAATTCATTCGTATTCACTATATTTAAATTGCTTTCCTTTTGTGATATTCAACTCTCGATCAAAAGCTCTGAGCCTTTAGAGGAAGGATGATGAAAATAATACCACGATCTCTACAGTATGCTTTTGAACAGACCCTGCTAACGATGTACAGGCATTGTTTCAAATCCTAAACAGTGGAGTTATAAGGAAGATAATCCCTAGTCAACTCCTTTTAGCCAAAGAAGTAGGAGTTTTTCTTTTCACACAAATTAAAACCCTTTTGATCATAACCTGGGGCAGGGTAGTTTTCTCAACATCCAACGATTACTATTAGAATTTAGGTTTCTTTTAATTAATTGATTTTCATATTATTATTATTAATTTAAAGCCTTTCATAAAAAACCCTAAAAAATATTTCAAACTTAATTTCTTTCATAATTATTTTAAGTTTAATTTTTTTTAATTTTAATTAATCATTCTCTTTAATTAAGTCAAGATTAACCCTTTCACAAAAAAAAAAACAAAAACCATTTTTTTCCATTTATATTCTTGCATTATATTTTCAATTCTTGTACGATATTCAATATGGTTGTAATAGATAATTAGGTTTAATTTTCTTGCAATCTCCATTTTGTAAATTTGTATACCCCCTCCCTCATTGATGTAATAGCGTAATAATTTTACTTTTCGCAATTTATCGCTTTATATAAATGCTAGTAATTAGGGTTTGTTTGGCAAGAATAAAAATCAACAAGTAGCAAACCCTAATTCAAGATAAACAATGCATGTAAATTAAACACACTTGCACACTTACACCCTTAGGGTAATTCCACTTTGTTGCCTTACAAAAATGTTCATGTTATGCATGTGGGATATCTTAGCAAAAACAAATAAAAAATACAAGATCATAGTCCCTCGATGACGTTATCAATGCTGCCTTTCAAAATGATCTTAGTCCCTCAAAGAGAAATGCTAAGACGTCTCACAACATTGCTATCATGACTATACGATGACCCATGTCCGTCCCTTTACATCCAAAGATAAGGCTTCTTACTAAATCAATGGTAATATAGCAATATCAAAGGAAAGGAAGAAATGAATAAAGACTTTTGAGTAGGTAGATTGTTCCTAGTTGCTTGCTCACTTTCAAATCAAATATCCTTGCTTATTTTCAAAACAAACACCAAAACTTTCAAAAAACACTTTCAAAATATTTTCCAAACATGAAACATTTTCAAAAGTCCAATACTTTGTATACGTTCTTATGAACGAGAACTATTACAAAATTTGCCTAAACGAAGGCGCCTTTTCAAAATACTTTCAAAAACCACACTAAGCACATTTTCAAACAAAATTAAGTGATCTAGCAAGCAACTAAGAGCCCATAGATAACTATGGATGAAAAGGGTGCTAATACTTTCCCTTTTCATAATCTACCTCCCGAACTCAAGAAATAATT